TATATATAAATCAGAACTGAAATTAGTAGTTTTATCATAACATGCATAGAAATGTGCATAAAATGATTGATACATTAACATTATTATATGATAGTATTGATGTATTAATTAATATAGAAAGTTTTTTTTATAATACCTCTTTTATTTTCTGAAATATATTTTATAATTCTATAAAAAATTCGGTTACATTAAATTTAGAAAATTAAAGAAAATTATATTTGTTTCAGAATAATATAAAGAAATATTTCATATTATGCAATGTAACACAAGACATTCTATTGCAGCATGATAATAGTAAAAAACTTCAAAACATTATTTCCTATCAACTATTCCTATGAGTTTCATTTGTATATATTCTCTGTATTTCCAGCTTTAAACAATTAAAATTTATTATGCACCTAATTCTTATACTTGAAATATGTAATAATAGGTGGTTAATACCAATCCATTTCGATGTATTTGGAGCCCGACAAGTGTTTCCATCCTTGGGAGAATTTTTTCCAACCACCTATAACATTAGTATAAAGCATCATCATAACTACACAGCTTTATCAAACATGCCGATACAAAAAATGGAAATAAATGATGTAGACATGCTCACACACTTCCAAACCACACCAATACTACCCACTTATCTCATAGCAGGGATAGTGACTAATTTCTATTGCAATTCTACTAAAAATATGATTACAAATGTGTGGTATAGAAATTGTTCCGCAATACGCATGGTATTTGCACAGAGAGTTATTGAACATATCACATTGTACTTGGAAAGCGAATGGAAACATCTAAGAGTAAGTTCGAAAATAAATCATCTTGCGATTCCGAATTTCCAAGACAAAGGTATAGTGAATTTGGGACTAGTTCTTTATAGGTAAGCCCACAGTCAAAAAAATATATTAATTTATTAAAATAATTATTAATATTCTAAATTACAATATTAAGATAGATATGCTTACTTTATTTGTGAGTTTGTTTAATTGGAAACAAAAATAATAATAATAAAAAAATAAATTTTACTTTTAGCACTTAGTAATTTAAATGCATATCTCTATAAAAACATATATTAATGCCAGTAAATATATATATAGACTTGTTATATATATAGAGGGTCGTCCGTAATTAATGGCACAACCGATAAAAAGCTGATTCTTCATGAAAAAATAAATCAAAATTTTAGAATGAAATTTTTTTATATGGAGCTTCGTTTTTGATAAAATCGACTTTAAATTACGCGTGCACTCGACTAAAAAGACGCCATTGGACGGATTTCGATACAGACGACTATATATTTTTCTGTTTACAGTGTCCAGTGCGCAC